GGGAAGCCCTTTGTGTGTGGCACAGGAGTCACTTGCGCACAAAACGCAGCCGCGCGCTCCGCCGCCGCCACAGCCTCCTCGAGCTGCACCTCCGCCTTCCAAACGCTTCATTACAGCCCAGCCCCTCCCCCGCCTCCCACACCCCCCAGCCCCGGGCCCCGGCCTTTGTTCGGCTTGAAAGTAATGCTGTGAATTAAAAGAAATGACAATATTTTCTATCTGCTTGAAAGTCCACGAGAAGAGCTCTTGAGCTTGGCAAAAATCAGGCCAATCATTCATCATGCCACGCCGCACCTGTGGTCCTGGCATTGAAAACTCTGTAGACCTATTCCTATTAAACTTAATTATTCCCCCCAAAGCACACAATGGTTGAAATGGAGCAGGTTGGAGTCTGTTTATTGGTGGTAAATGTTTTTCTGAAGATCTTCTGGATCTCATTGTTAGCTCGTTGTTGGAGGCTGCCCTTTTCTTTCATACGAGAGGAGCCTTGTACTTTGCAATTTTCAATCGTAACATCTGCTTAATCGGACGGATCAAAATATGGAGACACAAAACATATGTAATGGTTGATTTGTTAAATCCTGGTAATGAGTTATTAACAAGGGAAAACAATAGGCCGGGATGGAGAGAGCCTTATGGTAACAGAGTCGCTGTGTGCAAGGCTCAGGGTCCCCCTTCTTGATAAATGGAGCTAAGGTCTGAGCGCCAGGTGATAGCAAGAAAATCAATGTCTTTAGGGGCTAGCATGGAGACTTTTTTTTTCCTATGTGAAAAATTAGGAGACATAAAATTTAATTGGTTGATCAGGAGGGGAGGGAGGGGGGACGCAGGGGTATGGAGTTTAATTGCCAGTAGGCTGGGCAGAGGGAGACAAAACAAGGTTTGGGCCTGTTTGTTTGCCTCACCCCAGCCTCAAGTCCAAGTGTATCATTGAGAATGTGTTTTATTATAACACATGTCATGCTTTACAGTTCCCATATTGTGCAAAGACAATAGTTAATGGTACATTAAAGACAGGCAGACCATGCCAACACGTCTTGGAGACACTGTAAGGGCCTCTCTCTTCTCTTTGCTTGTCATGGGCAGCTGCAACCCAGGACCCAGGAGCACACACACAAAAAAGAACGAGTTTGAAATACCAGGTGCATCCGAGAGAGCCACGACAGGGATTGATATGTTATAGCCCAGGACATGAACCTAGCAATAAAGATATCATTGCAATTGTCTGCAGCTCCCATTGCCTGTAAAGCTCAGGAGCAGCCAGCCTCCCCGAGGGTCGCCTTGCCTCTCCCCCTGTGGGCTTCCCCCATGTCCCTGGGCCAAATCCCAACACCTGTTGGCCACCGTCGTGGGAATCGGCTCCTCCCCATGGTTCCAGATCTCAAAAAAAAAAAAAGTGGAATTATTTAGGGCCCTTCTTCCCACATGCCGTTTGTTGGGAAAGGCAGTGAGGAGGGGAGGGTGAGAGGGAGGGCCAGGGCTCTTAGACAACTCCCCCCCGCCCCGAGAGCTTCACCAGAGAGTGCACTCAACTGGTGTTTGTTCAACCTGGCAGCTGGTACTCGGTGCCACCGCCCAAGCCCATTAATGGAAATGGGATGAGTTTACGGGTTTAAGAGGTTTCACACCCTCTCCATGCAGGGACGTTAATCCTGGTGCTTGCTGGCAGATGAGCAGTCTTGGGAAGCCCCAGCAGCCAGTTTCACAGGCCTTCCAAGCCCGGGGGAGGAGGGGCAGGGGCGAGTGTATCCTTCTGCCGCCCAGGCTCCAGCTAGAGCCACACCTCTCCCTCCCACCTGTCTCTTTTCTGCCCTGCAGGATGCAGGGAGCTCTTGGGATGCCACTTTCTAGGGGGAGGTCCAAGGGATCCTGGCATCCCAGGATCCTCCATCCCAGGCAAGAGAGGGGACTCCATTTGCTTGGGCCACCTAGTTGAGAGGGGTGCAAAGCACTGTGGCTCTCCCTCTCATCTGTGGGGAATCCCTCCTTCTCCTCTTTCTCCCAGTGTCTGGAGTCACCTTGTTTCACTTGGTTAAAAGCAAAAGGGGGAGGAGAATGGTGCCCAGGGCACCGGACCTCTGAACATTGTTGTTGGGACTCATACCTATGAGGGCAATGACAAGAGGATCTGACTGACCCCCATGCCTGCTTGAAATGTTAAAAAAAAAAAAAAAAGGAGGGGTGGGGCTGGAGGAGAGAGAGGTGTGCTTTAACCCAGCAGAGCTGGAAGAAGGCAGCCTGGCACTGCAACCTGGGATGGAGACCCACAGAATAGGCTGGCAAGAAAGGGGTGAGTTGTTGAGGGGAGGGCACCCCACATCCACCTGCTCTTGGAAGACTGGATCTCCAAGACTCACTCTCTTTTCCCTTCCCCCTCCTACCTCACCACCAGCTGCTGGTGGTGAGGCTTGGACCAATGGGAAAGTAACTTAGCCAGCTCCACCACCCGGGGCAACCCAGCATTGGGGACTGCAGCTTCTTTCTTATGTTAAGTGAAGAAAGACGGCCAAGGGCAAACGTCTACCTCTCTCCTCTCTGGTGGTGGTCCTGGGCTGGGCTTTCAGCAGGAAGGAGGGGTGGAGGCCCCCCCAGACCGTTCTAAAGAACAGTACTGGCCAGAGACACACAGCAGTTGGATTGTACCTTATTATTTGTTATCCATATCCATGTCTTGGGGAGCAAGGGGGGGGGCAAGAAGAGCTTCCACTTAGAAGAACCCCTGACTATCCATCATTCCAGCTGGCCCTGCCATGTGATCCTTCCAGTGCCAAGCAGTAAGCAATGTCTGGGCAGAGTTGCCCCAGGCTGACCACAGACCCTCCAGCCTGGCACTGCCCCTCAGAAAGCCACTCCCTCACCCAGCCCAGCTTGGACCATCGCCCTCCGAAGTCTAACAAACTCTGAACTTATTTGTTTTGCTTTCACTGTCCCTTTTGGGGGGAGAGGGAAGAATTGCTACACTAGGATGAATGGATTATGAGTAAATAAAAAAGAAGCTGTCAGCTTCTTTGAAGGTCGTGTTTTAAAAAGACTTGCCAAGTCAGGACGGCAGACTGACAAGATAGGGACCCTGCCCTTTGCATGCTGAGTCCGGGTCTTCCGCTTCGTGGGCTTGCACTGAAGGATGTGTTGAGGCATTGATTGGGAGGGAAGGGGAAGTGACACACAAAATGCAAGGTGCCACGCCATCACAGTTGCTGCGATGGGACCTATGAGGGCAATGAAACAGGAAGCACAGGTTTACACAGCCAAAATACAGTAACAATAACAATAAGGATAATAATAAAATCAATACACAACCCGGGAGATCCGCCCACAACTTGGGATCCAGCTGAAGCCAGCAGTAACACTTGACTTTCTAATGAGCGTAATGAGATTACATGCCTGATCGCAGCGTTGTGCTAAAGCCCCTGTCCTGGCTAACGAGGCCCTAATAATACTGGGCGAAATCCGATGATTTTCTCTCTTCCTCGGATTATTCTCCGGGGGAAACCATCTTTCCAAGGGGAGGGAGGTTGTCAGGGATAGCAGAGGTGGGGAAACAAGGCGTACCAGGGCAAGAGGATCCGCGGCTGAGGAAGACTTTCTGTTACTCCCTACCCCACCCTGCCACCTCCGGGAGCCTGGAGACCCGGAATCTCCTGCGCGCGTCGGGCCGGCCGCGTTGCGGGGGTCCGGATCTAGGCTCCGCTTTTAATTGCTCTTGGCCGAGGTCCACGGCACCCGCAGCGCGGGGGAACCCCTCGGTAGGTCTGAAACGAGGTTAAAGCAATTAGCATGCTGCAGACGTATTGTTCTCGGCGGGGCCCGAGGCTGTTCAGAACGACTTGCAATTCCACCTTGTCTGATCACGGAGGCGCACTTGGTTTGCTTTGGCCCGGCCTCTGCCGCGCGGAAGGCAGCTATGAGGCACAGCAGCACAGCGCCGCTGCGTTCCCCCCAGACCCCTTGCAGCCTTGCGCCCGGGTTCCGGTCCCTCAGGCCAGGTGTGCCAGGGGCGGCCAAGAGAGCCTGGACTTGCTGCGTCCTTACCGCCCCAGCCCCTCCAGATGGTTTCCCAAGGCAAAATGGTGTTCGTTTCAGACCCGACCCAGGTGCACCAGAGAAGGAGCATCTGACCTGAGAGAACCTACGGAGGAGATTTCCCTCAGCCTCATTCTTTGCGGAAGGGACGCTCCTGGGAGACCCTTGCTCCCAAGTGAGAAGAATCACCACGACCCTCCCCTCCGCAGGTAAGCAGCACCCCCAGCCTCACCGGACACTACCGCCGCCAATCCACCTGCACACAGGTGCTTGGGTAGGGTGACCTTGGGTAAACAAACAGAAAAAGTTACACATCCGGTCTGTGAATCTTAGTTTCCTCCGTGACAAACACCACCCCAGGAACCTGTTTGCCACCATTTCTCTTTCTTTCTTTCTTTCTTTCTTTTTTCCTTCCTTCCTTCCTTCCATTTTTTCTTTCCTTCCTCTTTTGGTACAGCAGGGCTGAAAACACACTGGTGCCAGGTAGAAGAGGGGCGCACACTCGGAACTCAGGCTTTGTGTGGGTCTGGGGTGCAGCCAGTATTTACAAGACCTTTTAAACACACAGCAAATTCTCTGCCCCCCCCCCCGACCTAAACAAGTCACTTTAAAAACAAGGCTTAAATACCATTTATTAACAAGCCTTAGAAATAAACCAAATCTGGCAATAAATAGGCGCGAGCGTTCTTCCAGTTACACAAGGGTCTGGTGCAGAAGGTGCTGGACAGGGTGGGGTGGGAAGAAAGGGGAAGTCATGAGCTATTGCATATATTTCCGAAATCAAGATAAATTATATAACATATAGAGATATATTAAAAAAAAAGAGCATCTATCGCGTCAACTGAACGGAATAAATAGATAAATAACAAAACGCAATTGATTGCCTTGAGAAACATCTGATTTTCTTTTAAATTACATGGACATGTACAATATGCACAAACGACCGCAGTCCAGTCCACCGCGGGATCCTGGCTGGCTCAGGACACGAACTCCAGGGCCAGCTCGCTGTCGGCGCTGTGGAAGGAAGCAGATTTGTTGCTGAGCTTCCTGGGGTCCTCAGGGGTCCACACTTTGGCTGTCCGGATGATGTTCTGTTCGCTGAGCTGCTTTTCATCAGTCCAAGAGAGAGAATGTCCAGCCAGAGGAGGAAGGCCATAGTCCGGGTCGCTGGGGGAGGGCGGCCCTGGGTAGGGAAGGGGGAAAAAACCACATTCTGAGCTTGAGTCCCAGGTCCTGGGCATTTGGGGCCCCTCCGCCCTAAAGCTCCCCTCCCCCGGGCCGCCGTTCCCACCCCGGAGTCCCAAGAACTGTGCGCCTGGCTGGGACGCGCGACCCGGAGCGCACCTGGGACCCCGAGCGCGCGCGCTCCAGGTTGCAGTGTCCGTGGTCTGGCCCAGCTACCTGCCCCCGGCGGAAGACCCGTCCCCTACTCTCCCGAGCAGGAACACTGGAGCACTTACGGGTGCCACGATGGCAGATGATGACCTTCTGGGCTTGGCTGCCGAGGCTGTCTGTGCCCAGGCGCCCGCCTCCTCCCGCTCCGCCAGCGCCGCCTGCCCCGCCGGCGCCGCCACGCAGAGGCAGGTCGGCTTGCACCAGCTCGCTGAGGAAGTTGATGTAGCCGATGGCCAGACGCAGCGTGTCCACTTTGGACAGGCGCTTCTCGTAGGGTAGGGTGGGGATGTGCGAGCGCAGGCCCTCGAAGGCGTCGTTGATGGACTGCATGCGGCGCCGCTCGCGCACGTTAGCCGCCTGCCGCAGCTGTTGGAGTTCCGCCTCGGAGCGCACCCTCCTGCGCCGCCGCGCAGCAGCCGCCGCAGCCGCCGCCGCGCCCCGCAGCCTAGCTCCGGGGGACAGCACCGCGGCGGCGGCGGCGCACGGGTAGGCCAGGCACGAGGGTGGCGAGCCGGGCGAGTAGGGAAAAGCTCCTGGGGCCACGCTCGCCCCGCAGCAGTAGCCGGAGCCGCCTCCGATGTCCTCGGGATCCCCGGGAAACCCCGACGACGGCGCCGGCGCCGGCTGCACCAGGGCGTGAGGGGCGGCTGAGGACGCCGGAGGGAGCAGCAGGCACGCCCCGTCGCGGTAGCAGTATTCGTGCAACTGGTGGCTGAAGAAGTCCACCTCGGCCTGCTCGTCCGCCAGCAGCTCGTCGCCGTCCTCCAATGGGTCCCGGGAAGATTGATCGGTCAGGAAGTCTTCATCGTCCAGGTACGGAGCCGGAAAGCCATCCAGGCCCCCGGGGAAAGGTTCCAACAGCATTGTGTCCATGCTGTCGGCTGCCGCGCGCCCGAGGGCCGGCTGGATGGCTTGGGGCCGTGTGTGTGTTGTGTGTGTGTGTGTGTGTGTGTGTGTGTGTGTGTGTGTGTGTGTGTTTTGGTGAGGGCGGGTGAGGGGGTTCCCTCCGTCAGCACTCGGCGGCCTACAGCTGCCTCCTCCCCAGGGCCTTGCGGGTGGGCAGCCCCTGAGGGCTTCCCGGAGGGGCCCGCGGCCGCTGCGCGCTCGGGCTTGGCCGACGCCCACGATTCTGCTGGGGAGGGCTGTGGCCGACGCGCGGGAGCCGAGGGCTGGCACGCGAGGGTTTTTATAGGTACAGCCCCAGGCGCGTGCCGGGGACCCAAGGCGCCAGCCAATGAGAGCACGGGGTGCCGGCGGGGAGTGTGTGTGGGGGGGGTCTCTCCTCCCCTCGCGAGCTCCCGGGGCGGGGCCGCGCTGCCCGGAGCTGTTAGTCTTGCTCCTGGCCGGGTTTCTTTTCCAAGGTTGCTTTTACCTGTCCAGCGCGCGGCTACAGGTGCACCTGCTGCCTGCCCGCCCGTCAGCGTGGCGCAAGAGCAGATCCCGGCCCCGGCGGCAAAGGGGCTAGAGGGCAACCGCTCCAGCAGTCACACAAGACCCAGGGGCTGAGAAGTGCGGAAATGAAGCCCGCCTGGGTGAAACTCGCTCCTCTTTGGCGGTTGGCGCAATAATGCTGACTGTCCGGGACTGCCCGGAGGGCGGTTGTGGTCATCAGGGGCCGGGTGGCGGGTGAGGGGGCTCGCACCTGGCTCTGGCTTGACTTGGCGATTTCGGGGCCACAGCACTGCCCCATCACAGGACGTTCCAAGGTCTGTTGTGCAGTAGGGTTAGGTCGCAACGGGTGGACTTTTGGAGAGGCGCCCTGGGCCCGGCTGCTGAAGGAGATCCGGGTTTAGGAGCGCGCGAAAGAGAGACACCCGCGCAGACAGATTCTGGCGCCTGCCGCCAGCGGAGTCTGCGTCTCCCGGGTCCTTCCCGGCCCGGAAAAGGCAATGTTTAGACGGGAGGAGCTGGACTCTAGACCCTAAGGATTCTGAGCACTCACAAAGGAATGGAAGCGGAGCGGAGGGAGGGCGGTGAAGGTCCAGCCGTTTTCCAGCGCGACCCCCGTACTCACCTAGAGCTCCCCTCTACCACCTCCCTCCCCCCAGGGTGGGGGCTGTTCCGGACCGGGTTTTTCTATCCCAGACTTTCTCTCAGCGAAGGCAGAACTCACAGCGCATCCCCGAGACATAGCTGATCCCAGACGGCGCTGCCTCGTTAGTTCTCCCTAACTCTCAAGGAAACCTTTCTAGGATTGGGCGATTCTTGTTCAAAGTCAGCTCCGGTGGCCGCCCTGGGAGGGATCAGGGGCGCAATCAGGGCTGCCCTTTCCATACCGGGAACCGGCAGAGTCCGCTTCCCCAGCCGGCCCTTCCTTTCAGGAGGCTTGTCCCATTTGTCCCAGCTGAGGTGTTCACTGGTTATTCAGACTCTGCTTAAAACCCCAGAGCGCACCTCCGGAGGACGCGGGTTTAAATACAGCTCTTGGGTAAGTCCTTCCGTGGAGCACCTGGATCTTGTCCCGCCACTCCCGACCCACTTTCCCGCTCACGCTGGGAGACGGCAGTTGATGGCTCAGTTGCTGAGGGTCCCTGCCACCCAGGTGGGGAAACTCCACTGGGGTTCTAGGCTCTTGGATTTGGCCTGGGCCCAGCCCCATCTCTTGCCCACACTCCTTTCCCTGGATCCCTTTACAATCAAATGCTGCTTTTCTTCTGGGTTTAGCCATTCAGCTGGGTTTAACTCAGTTCTGAGACTGTTAGGCCAAGAGCTTCGCAAAATTAGGAGATTGGTGGTCATCCTACTTTCTTTTTGTATTTAGAGGTCTTCCTCTCTGCACAGGGTTAGACTAAAATAAAGTGGAAACATTGTTTTTGAAACAGTCTGAGAACTTACAAGAGTAGCAAGGAACAGAACTTTTAAGCCTGATTCAAAACACGGGTGGCGATTTCCTGGTCCTGCAGGGGTTGTGGAGGGGCGGAACTTGAGAGCCAGGGAATATAGATGTGTCTGTTGGTTTATTTTAAAATTATTCAGTATAATTTCAGTGGTTTAACTGCGGCCCCACTCCCCCAAATCCATTCAGGAACGCCCAGAAGAGTAACAGAAGTTTACCTGGGCTACCAGGTGAGTTCATGGCAAGTCCACAGCTGCCGGGAACCTGACTGCCTTAGGAGACTGGGCCGAGATCACCCAGAAGGATGGAGCTGTATGGACAGACTCGGGGTGGGATGGAGAGAGAGAAGGCCCTGATTTGTTCCCAAATATGGCCTTTTTTTGTTTGTTTATTTTTTGGTCCCTGTTTCCTCTTCCTTTTCCTCACCCCAACTCTCATTTTTTTTTTTTTTTTTCAGAGAATCCAGGCTGGTTGTGATGGAAGGCCAGAACAAGGCCTGTAGACACTGGTACTTAGTGGCTGACTCATACAAGGGTGCGCGCATGCACACACACACACCCACACACACACACACACACACACTCCTTGAGTAAGACATGATCATTCCTGTCTCTAACAGAAAGAAGAAAGACTTCTTTGCTAATAAAAGGAATTTTGTCTGGGTCACTGGAGGTCACAGCCTGGGGGACGGCTGCTCCCTGCCACTTGCAGCAGCAGGTCGGAAGAGGGGAAGACTGGAAGTGGGCCTTGACCTGCCAGGCTAGAGCTCTGCTCTCTCTCCTGACTGATTTCAGCATCCCACCCCCACGCTCTGGGCAGCAGGGGATTGTGGAGTCCCCCATCTCAGCCCACTCTTTGATTAGAGGGTTGGGAGCCAGTCATAGGCAGGATCTTTCTGGCTTGTAAATCCCCAAGCCCTAGACACCCTTCCACCATGGGGAGGCGATTCTGCTGTCCATCCCAGTCTGCCCAGCTGGTGAGTGAGAGGAGTTGGAAGTGAACACCGGCTTCAGCTGCCTTTGTGTCTCCGTGCAGTTCATGGCATCTTTGCATCTTCCCGTAGGGGCATGAATGTGATAAAATTTTCACAGAGATGAGCTCCTTGGCTCTGAACACTGCTCTGGGGGATAAATGGGGCAGGCGTTTAGATCATCCGTCATAGGAAACAGATTCTGAGGGGCCAGCTCAGCCGGCACCACAGAATAGGGGGGTTCCAGCACCTGGGAGAGAGCGAGAGCAAGAGAGAGAGAGAGAGAATGCAACCTGTGTGAGACTTTCTCCATCAACAAGGAGGGTGGGGCCATGTCTCTGTGGGCAGGAGAGCAGGAGGCACTTGGCTACCAACGCTCAACAGCTGAGCCTGGGACCTCCTCGATTCTTGCTGTGATGGACCTCACGGTTAAATGTCTATAAAGAAACTCCCAAATGCTAATCCACTCAGCCACTGGAGGACTGTTTTAGGATTGAGTTGATGGAGAGAATGTTTTTTTTGGCCTGCAAGGTGTCTGAACTTGAGAAGGGGAAGCATAGCATGTTATGACCCCATACCAGCCTCCGCAGTGGGCAGTCGGAAGAAAAAATGGCGGTTTCTGTAGAAATAAGGAACTTTCTGCTCTCTGTGTTCTTTTTAAAGATAGGTGTGCTTGGTTTCTGTGTGTGGTGTGCTTGGTTTCCGTGTGTGTTGGTAGGGTCTCAAGGGATTACAGTACATCCCTGAGATGAGTATTCAGCAGCCTTAGAAAAGAATCCAAAAGGGGTCTCCTGGCATGGTGGCATACCAGGTTAATCCTCTGTCTGCTGCATCAGCATCCCATACGAGCAATGGTTTGAGTCCTGTCTATTTCACTTCTGCTTACATCCAGCTCTCTGCTTATGATCTGGGAAAAGCAGTAGAGTATGGCTCATGTGTTTGGTCCCCTGCACCTACATGGGAGACCTGGAAGAAGCTCCCGGCTCTCAGCTTCAGACGGGTCCAGCTCTGGCCGTTGTGGTAGCTGCGCTTTGAGTTGTGCCAGAAAACCATATGGAAGAGCTTTCTCTCTCTTTCTCTCTCTTTCCCAGTAACTCATTCAAGTAAAACAAATATCTATATTTTTAAATAACAAGAAAATAATTCAAAAAGCTTAAGAAAGTGGATGAGGGGGGGTATAGGCACGGTAGCTTAGTGGCTAAATATCCTCGCCTTTCACATGCTGGGAACCCATGTAGGCACCGGTTCATGTCTCTGCGGCCCCGCTTCCCATCCAGCTCCCTGCCTGTGGCCTGATAAAGCAGTCGATGATGGCCCAAAGTCTGGGGTTCCTGCACTTGAGTGGGAGACCGTGAAGAAGCTCCTGACTCCTGGTTTTGGATCAGCTCATCAACTTCCATTGCGGCCACTTGGGGAATGAATCAGTGGATAGAAGATCTTCCTTTTGGTCTCTCTTGCTCTCTGTAGACATGATTTTCTAATAAAAATAAATAAATCTTAAAAAGGGAAAGTGGACGGGGGACATATCCGTGTGTGTGTTTCGGCATCAAATGTCCCTGGATGGGTATATGGCACGGCTGGCCTTGGTAGCATAAAGGACCCAAGTGACTGGTGAACAGCAGCCATCTGTGTGACACACTCTTTCCTATCTTTTGATGGTTGAAGTATGTGAAGAAAGACATGACATTTGTTAAAAACTTGATACATTTATTCTGTTACTATTTCTTTAGTGATTTTATTTTATTTTAAGCAATCCACAAGGGGTTGATTTATTTTTGATTCATCTGTAGTCATTGCACATATTTATGCATTATTTTGAGACATTCAGTCAACAGGTACTGATCATAGTGGGGCAGTTTTGTGTTCCCATCCTATCGTCTCTTCAAGAGATTTTATGCTTCTTTTAATGAACTTGCAGAATTAGAGACAAAGACAGACAGATCTTCCATCTGTTGTTTCATTCGCCAAATGGCCACAACAGCAGGTCTGGGTCAGGCCAAAGCCAGGAGCCTGGAGCCCTATCAGGGTCCCCCATGGTGAGTACAGAAATCCAGGCATTTGGGCCAT